GCACAGAACATAGTGAAAGATGTTGCTGTATCAGGAAGGTATGTGGACACGAAAGAAGAAGAAGATGATGGTGATGAAGTTCCAGATTATGAAACAAATACCTCTGAATATGTATTGCAGAATAAATCCATTATGAGTTCAACCGAAAAGCCAAGCTGTAGTGAGGATATGAAAGAATACCGAAACTGTGATCAACAAACACCAAAAGCGATAGCTGAGTGCCCCAAGATTTGCCTTACAAGTGATGGAACAATCAAGTATGGACAAAACTTTACATCCAATAAAACACCCGTGCCAACTCCAAGGAAAAAGAAGAAAACCACGACTGCTGCTTTGATTTCAAGAGAAAAGGAGATCGATGATGATGACACCGTTGTTTCGAATGAGGAACTGAAACAAAGGTATAATGATTTATTATCTGAAATTTCGTATGAAAAAAAATCGCACCTTCGACCTTGCGACGATTTTGCAAACGGCGTGAAAAAAGAAATGGTAGTCGTGACAGAAGTAAGGTCGTCGAAATTTGAAAAAGAACATGATGATCAAGATGATTATGACGATGATGACTTTGGAAAAAAAGGTTTGATTGATGGTCGTAAAGATGAATACAAAAGTGAGCAAAGTTGCCCTGAAGGCRATGTTACCCTACACACTAAAAACGAAAATGAACATGCTCCGAAAGAAAAGATTGGCAAAACTTGYCTAAAGCCTGAAGAGGCCATGCCTTCCGAAGAAACGTCCGTAGAAGCACCAAGGAGCGAGTATGGTCAAATTGGATGCGRCCACTTTAGAAATGTTGAAACCCAGCAAGTTCTACATGAAAATAAATCACAAACGCAACTAGAAGAAAATAAATACAGAGAAGGAGAAAATATTGACCTTTATGATACCGAAAACTACTTGTTGCCACAGGACATACAAGCATTCAGTCCACCATTTTGCTCCACTCCATATTCTGAACGYGTTACTATCCCAGTCACTCCTGAAATTCAAGTGCCTTTTGAAGAGGACAAAAATGTCTGTGAGACGTTTTCCATCGTTGGTCACACTGAACGAAATGATCATTATGAAATAGCTAAAGGGAAAGAAAGTGGCCGGGAGAATAAAGAAGAAGCAGAAAATAATTATGAAAGGAAAAAGGACATTAAATTCAATCCTTTTTCCAAAGAAGGTGGCTACGACATGGGAAAGCTTATGGAAGACGATGGAGTCTTTTATGGACGTAAAAAGGACGATGTTGGGTATGAGGATAATGAGTATGAATATGAATATAATATATGAATATGCTACAAGTATTGTCACTGAAGACTTTGGAAATCCGTCATGGTGTAAACGAAACATTGGCGCAAAGTCACCAGAATATGAAGAGTTGWATGTGGTCCTAAGAGGCATTGCTTCTTCTGTTCGTCCCTTTTCTCATGTTCCTGTTAGCAGGGACATAAGAAATGGTGGGACAAGTCATTACAATGTCGAAAGGCCGGATGATGTAGTTGCTTCTTTTAGGCACATTGATGACACCGTGAAGAGGAGAGAAGAAAGAAGCATTGGCGATAAGAAAAATAACGATGTTCCAACTTGGGGAACACAACAACCATYTCACAAAAGACAAAGCTACAGAACGGGAGCTCTGAGACACCAAAGTCCTTCTGTGCAAATATCAAGAGGAGTAAGCTTAGATAAAACATGTGGTACACAATCCTATGATAATGATCTCTTGAAGCCCTCCTGCACAAATTCAGACCAAACAAGTCACAGATGGCCCGAAAGTACGGAGAGTCATTTCCCTAGTAAACCATCACGAAGGAATAGTGCATTTGTGCCATTTGAATCCTCAGTAAGAGGAAGAGTTGATTATCATAARAAGCGTGGTTCTCCTAAAGAAAAGAGGCGGAACGAATCGACAGAAGAATTGAACAAAGATTTAAATCGTTCTGGAAAAATGAAGTATACAAGCGATAGTAGTTCGTTTCAGAGGAAAAACGACAAATTTCATTGTGAAGACTGCTCACCGACTGAAGATGCACGGTGTGCATCAGGAAGAGCATTAGACGATAGGAAAACAATTTTTGCAATGACCGGACAACTTAACTATAATACTGAACCAAGGATTGAAAAGTGTTTTGACCAAGTACAGCATTCAACACCAAAAAGTAGTGAGATCAATTTACCTGGATTTCCTGGTTCTCAGATTGGCACCTTGCACGTGATCACTTTCCCCCTGTCACGTGGTCCTGGGATTTCTGTAGAAAGGGGTGACAACAGAAGCACCTCGGGGATCTATGTGAGGGAGATAATTGAAGGTGGTGACGCGCACCATGATGGACGACTTCGTCCTGGAGACAGGTTGCTGACTGTCAACGGGTATAACTTAAGTATTGCATCACTTTCGCAGGCTAAATCTGTCCTGCGCAAACTCAAGCAAGCGCATTCGGAATCTTTCGCCACCATTCGCTTCATCCGTGAATCTGATGATATATCTGTTGAAGATATCGATTCATCTCTTGATCAAAGTGTTACTTTACCATTTTTCCCCAATGAAACAACTCATATGGAAAGCAATACATTTGGGAAACAAGAACAGGACTCGAGTTATTTGAAAGAAGAGTTGATCCTACCCAACCCACTGATGGCATCTACTCCAATTGATGTTACAACTAGTAGCAGAGCCAGAGAAAGTGGAGTTTATACTAGTTATAACAATGAGACTTCGTCTGGTAACTTTCATGATCTTCACAATGGGTTACTCATGCTGGCTCCGAACACCAAAGTACACTTAAGCCAACTGGAATCGTCCCTCTCATTTCTTGGACTTAATCTTTCTTCGCATCAAAAAAATCTTTTGCGAAGTCAGCTGGAAGTTGATTCTGATGGTTATGTTGTTTACGAAGAATTTGCCACAGCTGCACGGGATATTTATTCCCTTGATTTATCGGTAAGGGAACCTTTGGTTTATCCAGATTTAGAGATGAAGCCTCTTCCAGACATCGTCCCTCGACCATCTATTAACAGCGTCTTAGCGACGCGCAGAGAATTTGACCAGCTGGTTTCCGAAAAAAATCAAATCAAAGAAGAAATTCAAGAGATTAAGAAGAGGTTGAGCAAAAAGGCTAAAATGTTGCGCAACATGGAGGATGAACTTACTGAAGTGAGGAACGACCTAAAACAAGTCCAGAATCGAAAGATGATACTCTTGAATAAGGAAAGAGATTTGGAAGAGGCAAAAGCAAGAACATCATCAAAAATACAAGATTATACAAAAGACGTTTCATCTTTAGAAAAGGACATCATATCCTTAAAGGCATCAAACGTGGTCCCAATTACATCGCAGTTGGTGTCAAAGTGTGCTTCAGTCAACAAACAGATACAAAACTTGGTGACACGAGTGAGGAGTGTTCAGAAGAGCAACAGGATTTATCACAATACCACACAGAAGCTAATGGCATTTGCTCATAAAGTGCACAAAATACATCAGGAAAGAGGCGCATCCTCTGTAGACCATACCTATCAGACAGTTGATCAAATCCCTGTTTCAAAATCAAGGGGGGTCAAAAACAGACATAGGAAAGTTGATAATCAAAATGAATTATTGTCAAGGGAGGCCAGCAGAGTTATCAGTACGGTACAGGGGATCCTATCCCATGAGCCTTTGCCTTTTGGGTGGGAGGAAGCCTACACTGAAAAGGGATCTAAGTTCTATATTGATCACATGTCTGGGGTTACTACATGGCAATTACCTACATCAATCAGTTAAAATCATTTGCTTCTTAATGTTTAAGGTGGTGTAGTGCAAATGCACTCGCCTCTCAACTCTGGGGTCTCGGATAAGATTTCTGGATTCAACATCTTATGTGAGTAGAGCTTGTTGGTTTTCTCCTCTGATTCGAAGGTTTTCTTTGCGTTCTCCGGTCATCCTATCCCTCCACAAAGCTAAACAAGCTAAATTCTGATTCAATTAGCATCAAAGACCCAAACATATAGTAAGTTACGAATTTGCAACGTCCCCTGGGATTGGTTAGGCGGGGTTGGGGAAAGGTCATTGTTTTCTATTGTTCTACACATGTGCGCCCTCTAATAGGACCACATCTTGCAAATTCGTGAAGGACGACCCAGAAACAACACTATTCTTATGTATAATACATACACACATAATATACAGTATTTAAGATATTTATTAATCAAGTTTGGATGCACCAGAAAGTACTGTAATGTGTACATAAGGGCGAAAATGGTATACTCTAATGCACTGTTCTAATCTATACATAACATGAATTCTATTAACRATATACTCCTAACATCCCATAGCCTAGTGGATTATCATACAAGCAGCGCATTCTTTGGGCTCTCATTTTTAAACTACTTTTCTAAAAATTTTCAAGGGGAGTTTGGAGTTTGTAGTAGAATATTGCAATGAGCTTACAGCAAAAAGTAAGGAGACACTGGCAGAATTTTTGCCAAGGACGAGGACATATTTTTACGTGAAGGTAGGGTGACTCTGATTATGTAATGTTTTTGCAAACACATAGAATCCAAAAATAATAGTTGGCTKTGTTATACATAATTTCTACTGCAACTTTTCTTCAAAAAAGAAAAAAAAACTGATTGCAAAAGATTTTTGTGTGCAGGGGAAGGTGAACTACATTCACAATTTGTAAAAACTTACTCTGCAAAACAAGCTTCAAAAGAATTTTCAAGTGTAATATAGCCTTAACAAGTAACAGCACTTTATAGCCTAGAGTTACTCTAACTTCATGCATAGTGGTACCAAGAATAGTCATCCCATTAACCCATCAAACAAAAGTTAGCAGTCAATGTCTGATAGCAGAAGGAGGTATAAAGGAAAAAACAACAACAATGCTGTCCTTTTATGCCAACATACTAACGGCTATTTCTTGGGTTAAATGAATGGCGATCTAAATAACTGCAAACTTTAACCCAGAGATTTCAACCGGTTGTTGGGAATTGTTTCTTTTTGCTGCAATCAATTAAAATGAAGGAATCTTCTAAACTAAAAGTTTATGCAAAGGAAATCATGTCAAAATGGCAAAAGTGAATGCAAACGGGGAAAATAATATTCAAAATGTCATCATGTTGCTATTTAAATTGCTCTCAATGGTTCTGAGATTAGGTTGACCTTGATAAAAATAATGTATCAAGTGAATTTAGATAAGGACTATCTAGATGATTTGCATTCGGTTTTGTTGTTAGYTAGGCTAAGGTCAAACGTCGAACTTCACATGTACCGAACCTAATTGAAACAATGGATAACAAGGCGCTCTTCTTTGATGTGAATAGGTTTGGCTCATGCTAATTTCGATGTTTGACCTGAGCCTAAGATTATGTAATTTAATTGATGGTGGCAAAACAAAAAACAAAACAAAAAAAAACAATTTCACAACAAGCCAATGAAATGTCTGATTATCACTGTTGTATAATTATATTAAATGCCAAGCAGAATTAGAATTAGCTAGAAAAATAATATTTTAAAGTACGAAAAGTTTAAATTGCTTAGTAGGTTCATTGGCCAGAAAGTTGTGACAATGAGCACTTTCTATAGAAACCCAAAAAATTTTCCAGGAAAAAGTCGTAATTTAGTAGTCCTTGTTTTTATAAATAACCTGCATAGTGGTACAAAAGGGTTGGGGAGGAGACAAGCTCTCTTTCAGGCCCCTTTTGGCAATTTCTAATTCCTTTATACTGCTATGCAGGCTATGGAATGACCCAGCGATACTGACCATGTTGGTAATTTGATTGTCAGGTAGATTGACCCATCACTCAGAGTCTCTGTAATACATGTATTTTTTTCTGCTTTTGTCTTCATATTCTATTTATCTTAACATTTTCATCCTTAATACTAAGTCTTGAACCAGTGTTCTTTCAACTTCCATTCTGACTTCAAAGTTTAGAGTAAGTAATTGTGGTTTTTGATCAGAAGATAGTTTAGCTGTGGGATTTAGAATGTTGGATGAGCCATTGCAGTGTAATGTCTGTAAAGGAAGAGAGCTACGTCAGTAAATTRAGTATAACTATACAACACTTTCATAATGTCAGCATCACATCAGTATAAAGATCTAAAATCTGAGTATTCGTGGCCTTCATGGACGGCGTAATGCCTTACAGGTTGCAACCCAATTGATAAGGCCTCCAAGATCAAATTAAAATTTTGAAGTTGATTTTTGTCAATGAGTGTGTACTCTAATACAATAGCTCACCTATGTTGTCCTTTTCTTTGCATGAGATAGAATAACAGCATATTTCTCTGTCTTGTATTGATGTTAATTTCCTGAAGAAGTGAAAATATGTTTAAATTTAAAGAAAGCGAACCCTAAGGGAAATTTTAGGTGTACATTATAAGATACTTACAGTCTTTCTACTAATTCCCGTTCATCCAGAGCATTAGGAAGATCCTTTTTATTTCCAAGTACTAAAATCTTTAAATAAATTCAGTTTGTTAGTATAAAGAAGTAGAAACGAATAACTGACAATGTCATTCACTTGAGTATCATCTCTTTGTCTACCAGCTACTCCAAAAAGGATTGAGATAGGAAAACCTATAATATGAGAATACTCGGATGCCCCCCAACCCTCCCCCCCCCTAAAAACTAAAATTTTGAGGGACTACCTCATGTCAGGGCTAACTCACAGATCATTGGAATTGAGCATGTTAGGTTTGCCAGGGTTTGTGCTGAGGTAACCACTTAAAATTCAAGGACTATTCAAGGAGTGTGTTCAGCTAACTATGCCATGGTGGTTGCATATGGCCAACTTTCCGATTTTTCTGACTAGATCTATTTCAGAACCATGCAAGTAATAATCAAAACAAAAATTCAAGGAGTTTCGATAAAATCGTAAAATTCGAGAGCTTTTCAAGTGCCCTTGAAAAGGTGAATTTATATTCAAGGATATTTCAAGGAGTTTAAGGAGTAGCATGAACCTTGTTTGCAGAGAATCAGAGAACCCATAGAAAAACTCTCAAATCAAAAGAGAGAGGGGAAAGACACCCCAGAGGTTTAGAGAACAGTGCACTACCACTACAACACCACCCTTGATTTCCAAATTGATTCTGTGTATACATACTGGGATTCCTGATAGCTGTGGTTTTTCTAGAAGATTGTGCAGTTCATTCTTTGATGCTTCTAACTTCTCATGGTCAGCAGCATCAACCATATAACTGTTTAAAAAAACATATTAATACCATATATAAATAAAATGCCAACCATAGGAATATAATATGCAATTTCTTAAGGGGATTTGTGGGGTTGAAGAGCGGCCTAAACATGATTTGAGACAACTCTGAGAAATATATTTTTGCCAATACCCCTCACACTAGTTGCAAATCCAAAACGATCTTAAGGGGGTAGCCGTTACCTGGAAAAGCATCACATAACATCCTTTTTAGAGTTTTGTTATTCTTATTATTTAAAATCTCAACTGCAAATGGGCTAGCCACCCATTCCACCCTCCAGAATCAGCCTTTGTGTGCACATTAAAAAATAGCATTCACGGGAACTTTAATCTCAGAATATTTTCTAGTGCAGAACTATGCTGCTGTAACCTTCTTGGTTCCTTAGCAGTTATGATATTCAGCCCTCCAACTCAAACCTTGAATCCTCCCTTTATTAAAGAGCTAAAAGCTTCAAAAAATAGATGTCATTATTTAAAAGAAAAAAAGCTAGACTTACACAATACAATTGACTCCTCTACAATAACGTTCCCACATGCTTCTGAAGCGAGGCTGGCCCCCAATGTCCCAAACCTGTAATGATGTAAAAATGATAATTAAGTAAAGTTGAAACTGTTTATATTACCATTGTTTTCAGTGCTTCCGGCTGAGGGAGAGAAAGATCAAATGACGTATCTTTTCCCATTCATGAGAGATCGAAAGTAGTCTACTGCCAGTTAACCTGTTGTGCATTTCATGAAGCAATGAAAACAGTGGTAAGTGCTCAGGGATTGATAAAGATCGGTCCTTTAACAGAGAAATAAATTAGTCCAAAAACCCTCTTTGGGACTGCTAAATAGAGGTCCATCACTTGAGGTTCTATTGTATTTGACAATTTTGAAAACGACAATGAAAGTATTATGCCTTGATTATAGAAAGAGAAAGAGATCTCATAAGAGACAAAGTGACAGCTAGCTTGAAAATAGATGCAATATTAATTCATGATCAAAATCAAAGTCCTTTAGTTAATCAGAAAGAGAATTTATTTCGCTCTTATTTTTGTATTTAATTTAAAATTTATTTTCAATAATCTGATAACTTTCGTCTAAATTGCCCAAACGAGTAAGTAATGAGAGAGCTGGAAATAATAATAATAATAAAAAGAATTGTAATTGAAAAATAAAACGAAAACTATATACCAGTGAGAGTTCTGCTCATGTTGTAAGTTATGGAAAATCAATTGGCACAATACCAAAGAGGAATGAAAATAATGAGAGAATGAAAGCTTTGATTCAAACAACTGCACCTGTAGTGTAGATGAGTAATATATAGCATTGAACYAATAGAGTTAAGATCATAAAATGTCCCATCAATATTTTTAATAAGCTTATTTCTTAATATATTATTGCACATGCAATATACATTTGAGCGATCATTATAAAGTGAGCTTACCTTTATCGTAACGTTCCCTTTGGAGACCTTTCTCATATTAAACCCAACTGTAGGAATCATATCTTCACTGAATTGGCCAGACTATGAACAAAAAAATATCAAAAAAATTGGTCTTTTGAAGTTTTGCATGATGATGATCAAATCAAAGTCGAAAATGGAAGATTTCCAACAAAACTCACCGCAATAACGTTGACAAAAGTAGTCTTTCCAGAATATTGCAAACCCACGAGGGTTAGTTCCATCTCCTCCTTCCAGAAGAGGCTTTTAAACCAGTCTAAAATGCTGCGAAAAAAGGATAACATGATGAAAAACCTTTGATATTTTATTTCCACCTCAGAAGATAGTCAGTCTCCTGTCTCTATTGTCATGTGACAAACCCCACTTCTTGGCTACCAGGCCAGGGGTCCTTACGGTGCTATAAAACAAAAAAATCATTAAATCCCATAATAAATCCTAACACGCTTGTTCATGACTTTAAGCTTTATTGATCGACCCCAAAAGCAAAAAGCATTAAAATTTCGTTAATTTTTTAGTTTTTCATTAAAATACATAATGTTAACTCCGAGGGGATAAATAGTAGTAGGTACGTGTTTTATGGGTACGTAAATCATATACATCAAACCATTTAAAATACATTATTGAATCTAATTCTACCATGCTAATTTATGACTATAAGCTTTATTAACAAGTACAAAAGCAAAAAACATAAGAATGTTATTAATTTGATTATAATAGATTAGGTAAATTCCAAGGGGATAAATAGGAGAGGTACGTTTTATAGTGGTACGTGAAACTTTATACTCGAGAAAGGCCTTACGTCATTTCAAGTGAATTTATATTCATACAATAAACCGCTGGACATGAATTTGTATTTTTTTTCCCAATTGTTTTCATTTTTGAGGTAAAAATCGTTAAAGTATCGTCTTTCCTTTTGAATTTTTTCGTTGGTAATATCGCATTTGAATCAAAATAACAGCGTATGTAGGTTCTAGTTTCATTGTTTCTACCATCGGTGCCTTTTAATGGACGCTGTGGATTTTCTTCGAGGAGAGGTTGATCGTTTGACCAACGAGCTTCAACTTGCTTCACAAGAGAAGATACAAGCAGCAGAATATGGACTCGCAGTGTTGGAAGAAAAACATAAACTACAGGAACAATTTGACGACTTAGAAAACTCTAATGAGGCTATAAAGCAGGAATTAGAGTGTCTAAAGGAGGTGAGTGGACATCATCTTTAATGTTTACGTAGAGAGACCATTGTAGGTCTCCACTTCACTATAAGATAATCATCTCAAAATTATTTTGTCGTTTATAAGCAATCAATAAATCAAAAATATGAGTTATAGAAAAATGAGTTAAGTTTATTTTTCAATGCTTTTATGAGTATTTTCTTATTGCTTGAAGATGCTTCAAGAAAGGGTTTATCAAAATACGAGTCAAAAATACGAGTCATTTTATAAAATTACAAGACTTTTTATTATATGTCATTCATAATAATCGTAAAGCTTACTAGTACTGCCACGTTGCGTTTTCCATATTTTCCTAAGGTTTAGTTTGTCTTGAATGAAATGAATTCTATATTTATTAAGTCATCATAGGAATTTATAAGATATTAAGTTTTGAATTTTTTTAATTGCAATATTTTTATTGTGATTACTATTCTGGTTTAGCAATCGAATTATGAATTATTTATCAAACGTGTAAATTTATCTCTTTGTTATTCTTGTTGTCTAAGATATTCTCTTTGTAGCTAAACATTTTGATAACAGTTACAAACAATGTTGGGTTTTTCTCCAAGTTTGCTTGAGTGTCCACAGAACAATGGCTTCAAGTTGAGGTTGGAGTTGATAAAATGCAGTGAATTTATGAACACAATGTCCAACCTTGATTTAGAGCCATCGTTTAATGTCACTCAAGTGAATTTGGGAAAGGTCTATTCTGCATTTGCTTTTGTCTTTGTGGTTTTCTAACTTGTATAATTACAAAAATTGACTTATCAAGTCAAAAGTAATCCACCCAAAAAGACTTCCACTTGGAGGGAG